GGGGGAAAATGTCCTACTACGCCGAAAACAGCCGGGGGGAAAATGTCCGCCATTCCAGTCACCTATACCTATTATTGATTTTTTTTTCTCAATAAGCCTTTTTTATTGTGAATTAAGTTTATTTAACGACACATTTTGTAACAAAGGATTCTATCATATAGGGGGTTCTAGGGGTTACAGGTAGACCTAATAAATGAAGTAACTTTTTGTTTATGAATATAATTTATTCGCATCAGCACTAAACATGCATAATCAAAGCTGGGCAAGTTAGTCATTTTTTTTAACTAGTTGAAGTTAAGTTACTTTAGTAAAAAAACTAACTAAGTTAGAACATAAGTTAGTTTCTGAAACTGTCCAAATTTTTAACTTAGTTAGTTAGAAGTTAGTTTGGTGAAAATAGTTAGATTAGAAGTTAGATTTTTTTTTTTTAGATTAAAAAACGTTTGTGTTCAAATGTAAATAATAAGTTATATCTAACTTATATTATTGATAAAAACTGAAAAATTGAATTAATAATCTAGTAATTTGATCACATGTTCTAATTAGGTAAGTAATAATTTCAAGTTCTTGGAATTTTAGATATTACTTATTAAAACATAAATGATGAAACAAAATAAAAAAATATATATAACAGTATGCCAACATAAAATATAAATATAAAATAACAATATATAACAGTCATAGTATAATCAGATATTTTATGTTTTATTTAAAATATTCATTAAATTTTAACAAAAGTGTCATTTCAAAGTTGTTATCAGACATAGACCCACGCCTTTCATCAAATAATTGATAATAATAATAATAATAAACTAACTAGTTAGTTATTTTTCCGAGTTAGATTAGAATTATTTTACGCTTTCAATTCAACTCGTTAAGTTTGAAAGTTATTGTATATTAAAACTAACTTAACTTTAACTTTCTAACTAGTCAGTGCCCAGCTTTGTGCATAATACAATTTATTTTTATTTTTTAATACTGAAATTAAAAAAAAATAAATCTGATCTAAATTTGTGTATAAAATTCAAAATGGCCAATTTACAAACCTTATATTCAGAAAAATATTGATTGTAAAAACATGTATTTTATATTGATTTTTTTTCATTATTTAAGTTAAATAAAATTTATCTAATTGCATAAAAATTTTTAAATTCAAAATGTAATAAGGTTCTTCAAATATTTTATGAGAAATTTTTAGTAGGTATTTAATTGTTTTTAAAGTTTTACTTTTCAAATAATGAGACTTCAAAAAATTAAAAAAAAAAACTTTTAATATTAAAATGGTTAGGTCTAAACTTGTAACATTTAATGTTTGTCCCTGTGCCTTATTTATGGTCATTGAAAAGCATAATTCCTTGGGAAACTGGAGCCGTTCACAAACTGGATAGGTAGATTCATTAATGGTTGATATTATTGATATCCTAGGAACCAAGATAGTTTTCTATCTATACAGCCAGTAAGAATCGTTCACTCAAGCAGATAGTATTTTAAAGATATTATTTCTGTTAGGGTCCCCCACCTTAGCTTCAATTCTCCTCCCAGTTTACATTTTACAGTTATCAAACGATTTGGTTTACCATATTTTTTTTTACTCGTGTAATTGAGTTTTGTACTTTTCATTGAGGTATAGAAGTCTGCCAATGAAAGATAGTCAATACTACTAGTTCAATAGGATACCTGGTTCATTTGAGTTGAAGCATCGAGCAAATGAATATAAAATTCAGCTTGTAATGGTGTCTGATAGTTTAAGTCGTTTAAGAGGTGTAAATATGTGGAGAGGGTATAGGGGATAAATCCCCCCATGTTTAACCTTTATGTGACTGAGACAAAATACAACTTTTAATGACGGTCTAGGTACCCGGGTACTTATAATATTAATATCTGTGATTTAACGATAAATTATTTCGTTGTATATACTATTGAAAGATGTCAYGGAATTACAAAACATGCATACTAAAAATTTAAAATAAAAATAAATTTAAAAACTAAAAAGTTACCCAGGTATCTTTCCAAGCCCATAAAAGTTAAAAAAGAAAAATAGCTATATTAAATTCTTGGGAACACTTGGCTACATTTTAAGATTTTAAAATGGACAATGATTAACTATTATCACACTTAAAAAATATAACTGATAAAAACTTTTAACTTCTGACTTTTTGTATAACTTTTAGCCGCCTAAGACTTTAGCTCCTGGATATAAACTAAAATTAAAACTGTTAATATTTTAATAGGTAATAATTATTTTTGAAAATTACACAAGACCTAGAATTTTAATTCCCTAAGAAAAATATCAGGTTTCCTTTCTTTGATTATGGACAGTTCTTAAAATGTGTATCTATTACTTTTTAGAAAAATCTAATGCAAACAACTAAGCAGTAAACATCAGTACCATTTTCGAAAACAAAATAAGATTAAAAAAAGCCAGTAGGTAGTAAGTACTAGGTTTAAAATAAATATATTAACATTTACACACAAATATGTAATATGACTATTGTAAAAGAATTTATTACAATCAGCTAGTGTAATACAATTCTACATTGTGATCTTGGTATTTAAGTCTTAAAAATTACAATATCTTCTTTTTACATATGCATTGTCTATGTTATAAGAGTACAATATTAAACATCATATCAAGAATAGGCTTAATATTTGAGATTTGTTTGAAATTAAGTAAAAAGAAATTGAACTTATCTCAAAATAGTCAATATTAAAATGTTGATATATTTTAGGTCTCAATAAATTACACAATAAATGCTAGACACATACATTATATATTATAAGAATAAATGATTATTCATTAGTATATTTTATCATATTGAAACGTATGAACATAGATGAGTGTCCGTAAAAAAAAAAAAAAAAACAAAGAAGTATAGAAACATTAGAAACAATATTAAAATGGCCATTATTTAAAATCTTAGGAAAAATTATAGACAAGTAAAACAAATTCTTTATAGTATTATTAGTTGTTTACACATTTGAACATTTCTATTATAAAATATAGGATTATTAATATTACCCGTCTAGTACAAATTGAAGTAGGTATACTAAATATTATATCAAAGTACATTTCCAACAGTGAACTAAAAGTATTTAATCTGCTTAAGCTATTGTATACATAAGCATCAATTACCTCCACATTATTTTATTTTTATACCAAATTTCTTATGAAAACTTAACAGTTTTTACTATCAGTACAAAAGAATATAGAAAGTAATCTAATTGTCTACTTACATAAACCATGTCATATTCAACATAACCCATTGGAATATGATAATAAATGCAATAACATTAATAAATAATAGGTTCACTTTGCACCAACAGCTGAATACTAATATAAAGTATAATAATAAATAAAATATTATTTTTATCATAATTGTGAATATATAATATATATTTTATATGACTCTTAAGTTTAACTTCAAATCGCAAATTATTTTTATAGAATGATTTTTGACCATTGCAATATTAAGTAAGGAGTTCAACAATTCACTTAATTTTTCCAATTAAGTATCAAACATTATTCTTGCTAGAGTACAGCTAACAGTAGATATTGATAAATGTATGGTTTTAAAAAAAGGAAACCAAAGACCTGATATAGGAATTTATGTATACTTATTAATTAAGTATAATAAAATAACCTGAAACTCATGTTTAAAATTAAATGCCAAAGTTGTTAATGTAAGTTTGTATTTATTTTATTTGTCTACGCTAAAACATAAGCACATTCACATTAATCAATGAAATATAAAAGATATAAAATAGAAAATTATTGAAATACAATGAGATAATTATAATGTCAACTTATGTCTTATGCGTGTACTTGGAAAAGTCAAAAATAAAATACTATCACATGATGAAAAGGCATGACAAGGGACAATATAATATGGTATTTTTAGTTATAAATAGCAAACACATTATCACACTAATCCCTAATAATAAGTTTATCTAAGCAAGACTAACACCATAGTGGGGTATTGGTGAACAATCACAATTTTTGAAAGACTGATGCTCATTTACATCAATTGCKTTCGCCATAAATCATTTACAACACCACTCATTAACTTTCTAACAACTGTCAGATATATATAATATATTCCAAGGAAATATATATTTATTAACTCAATGTATGTTGTGAATAATCCTTTACAGTTCTTCACGAACAGCAACACTGATGTTAGCCCTTGTCATTTAAACCTTCCCAATAAATATATATGTAAAAAAGTTTTAACTATTTACATTAGGTAAATCTTAAATGACTACTAGGTAATGTTAATAATTTCACAGGATCTGCACCAATTTCTTTATCCAGCTAAATATTGGGATCTTGAATGCCTGGATGGTCCTGGACGAGGATTGTACTTTTTTGGAGTCCATTTGATAGCACTTCCCTCCAATATGAATCTTGGCCGTTTATACTGCTCAGAATTAACCAGCTGTTCAACATTTTTGGGCGTTACACAAATCACATGTTGGCCTTTCCAGTACTTCACCATGTTCATGGACTGCAACGTTGAAATTATGTCCGTTTGGGTGATACTAGTCATTGCGCTAAAAAAAATTATAAAACATATAACTACTCTCCTTGTTAATAATGATTGTTAGTAAATCAAATGTATACCTCAAATCTTTAATTGATAAAGATCCACAAGCATTCTTCAAAATTTCCAACAGTACCCATGACCAGTAAGATCTGTATGACAGTTTACCAAGATCACTCAGTGGCTTTTCAGGACTGGCTACAAGTCCTTCTAACTTGCTCAATTCATAGCTGAAAGCTATTAATAATTTACCATAACCTTGTCTCTGGAATGGTGGCATTGTTAATATACAAGCTACATTGTTGCAATCTGGTGAATCTTTTTCCTAAAATTAAAGATAATTAGTAATATGCACAATTTAGAGTTTTCTTTATTCTTTAATGAAAATGTAATAAAACATACTTTTGAAAAATATCCAACCAAATGTGCACCAACTTTGTCAACTTCACAAAGGATATAAAACAAAAATGGTTCAACATCAAAGTAGAGTGTTTTATGGTCTAAAAATAACTTTGCTAATAGGCAAAGATTCTGACAATACATTTTGTGCTGACTGGAATTCACTTCCCAGATCGATAATGACCCCTTATGATACACTTCAACACCGGGTGGTTGTCTCCATGTGCATTGGCTCTAAAATATTAAACATTTGTTAAATAAAATTACAACATATTAAATTAAATACTGACCATATGGTATTTGAATGATTTCTCTAGTTTGCTGTATTTCAAACAGTATTCACAAATCCAAATTTTAGATTCTTTTTGGTATTCTGCTGGAAATGGACTAAAATACCATGTGTCAATTTCATACTTTCCCAACTGTACTTTATTGATGTATTTAATTTTAGTTATCGCCTCATGCTCTTTTTCCAATGCAGCTGTAGTTGGATCCATTTCTGCATAAGACTAATTAAAATAAAATAAAATATTAATACAATAAAATCTAATTAAATGGCTAAAATTATTTTCTTGGTTAATTTCTATATTTAAAAAAAAAAAAAAACATACCTAATACCTAGTTGATTTTTTTTTTTAATACTCTATATTTTATAATTTTAAGGAGCCCACTGTAGTGATAATCAAACAATTAACTTTTTGCTAGAGGTATAAGCATAAAGCACTCAATTTGTTTCCTCTACCTGACTCTTGCACAACATACCAAATTTGTATTCTTGAATGTAATTATTATCTGTACTTGGTGACTTTTAATTAATAATAATTTAATTTTATGCTAGTTATGAGTATTTAAAATATCATAATTAAGATAATAGTATTTAATTAGTATGATTCATACAATGAGAAGTTCTCTAACTTTATAGTTTAATAAAGGTAAATGTGTTAATTGGATATTCAAGCTGGCCAAAATAATATACTACAGAATTTTAAACACACAAATGCATATCATGTGCAATCTAAATTATATCACAGAGTATGAAATATTTATAACATTAAATAATAATCTAATTAGTCTAGCAGTTTAATCAGATCATAGGGTAATTAAAATGAATAATTTTTACCATTGGAACATGATTGATCTCGTCATGTCTTCGTTTTTGGTTCCTAGTGATCTTTCTGTCTGACTGATTAAGAAGATCTAGATTTTTATTTACATCCTTCTGTTTCCAATTTTTTTCAGAAATATCAAATCTTGAATTCATAATCCTAAACCATAATTTTTATGTTTTAACATTCAATTACTGACTGTAAATTGCAATTTAATCATTCTTACCTATCTCTCGGTACCCATTGATCCAATCTTCGATTGTACCCTTCATAGTGTACATAATACTCAAAAAGGCGTTCTGTATCATTGAACCTTGTATGTAAAACTTCAGCGGGATCTATAATAAATAAATAAGAAATAATCAAACAAATAAGAAATATGTTATCAATTAATCAGTAAAATAATATTGAAATATATATTAATGATGATTCATTTTTCATATTAAATCACTTAGGCATTATAAATATAAATATTAAATATAGAATTAAAACAAATTAGCAATCATTTATGTAAATTTTCTAGAACATAGTTTTGACGCAGTAGAATAACATCAATTTATTAGATACCTAATCTATGCACTTGACTATATACAGCATAGTAAAACAATGCTGAAAAACTTATAAACATTTTACAGTTATATATTTAGTACATTTCTGTTGTCTGTGTATTATTTATAATTCTGAGGTTACCTGAATCAAAATAATATTGATCAATACTTTATTGAAACTTAATGTTTATATTTTTATCTACAGTTAATATATATATATGTGTATTTTTTTTATGTCTTGTGATTGTATCAGAATGAGAGCATTGTCTTTATTTTCAAATTAAAACCATTATTACTGTACCACTTAATTTAAATCAAACCTTGCATTGTACCTGTATATATTTTTTTTTCTGTTTTTGGACGTTTAGATTATTATTATATCTTCATTGTTAAAGAGCTCCCATAAAAATGTTAATAAATAAATATATAAGATACTATACATACATCATAAGATTAAAATATAACATATAATTAACTATAGATTTTTGTAAATATTAAGTAGGTAGGTGCTTATTAAATGTTTAATAAATTTTTTTTTTTTTTTTTTTTTTTTTTTTTTAAATATTTATATCATTGATAAAATCGAGAATAAAATTGAAATAAATAAAATAAATACCTATGATTATTTTTAATTCCAATAATCAAAACAGGAAAAACTGTAAAATTTAACATGACATCATAATATGTTAATTAATAGTTTAAATTAGGTATTAGGTAGAATGTAGATAAAATCACAAGATAAGAAAAAAAATTAAATTTTGATACCAACAGGTATTTATTTTTTGTGTAATTAATAATAACCAGATAAATTTTACCAGGTGATACCTAAGTGATCTAGGCCATCTCAGACATAGGCACCTCATATAACATGTGTATATAGATTATATAAATATAAAACCTTATCAAATTCAATGATTAAAAGTTTAAATTAAAAATATTTTTTCCTGCTTAAAATTGTTTATCTATGACAGTAGAAGGTAGTTTAAAAAAAAAAAAAGTTAAATTATATTAAATAACCTCCCGGCTCTATTAATAACTTTAACTATATTATATTACCTGTTCTTAACAAGAAAATGGTATTGGTTTTGAAATTAGTTATTGGCTTAAGAGGACGTTTCACCCGCATGTGTTGTCTCCGTCTTACAAGTACCTAACATTGCAAAAACTGTTTCGCGGGGGAAAGAACCGAGAAAGATACAGTTATAACTTATAACTAAGAAACGACATTTTCACCACATAAAGAGGAGAATTTTGTCTGTGCAATATCGTTTTTATTTTTTTGATATCAGAACTAGAAAAAAAGTTATTCATGCTTAAAAAACACAAAATTATTATAAAACAATAAGAATTTTTTTGTATAAGTGATATCGAAAAAATAAAAACGATATTGCACAGACAAAATTCTCCTTTTTATGTGGTGAAAATTTCGTTTCTTAGTTATAACTGTATCTCTGTCGGTTCTTTCCCGCGCGAAACATTTTTTACAATGTTACGCACTTGTAAGTCGGAGACAACACATGCGGGTGAAACGTCCTTTTAAGGGGATTGCAAACGTCTATTATTTCATCCAAAATATACCAATCTTTTGTCAATTACACCGATGGAACTGTTAACGCAATAAGACTTCTGAAAACTAATTTGAATTCTTTAACATGTTTACTTGAGATCGATCAGTCCACTTTTTAAAATTTCGATCTCCAACTCCTTTAAATTTGGTTTAAATACTTAAAAACCTACAAAATTTTAAGTATTGATTATTCCTTATTTAAATCTAAAATCTTAAAATGTGGCTTGATCGATCTCAAGTAAACATATTAAGGAATTAAAATCAGTTTTCAGAAGTTTTATCGCATCATTAGGTCCATCAGTAGGATTGACAAAAAGTATATATAAATTAGCATACATTCTTTACTGTTCACGCGCACGACATCGTAGCGGTGACTTGCACCGTACGTGCCGCGTGCGTAAATGTTTTTCTACTACTCGTTTATTAAACAACTTTGTTCTAAGAATCTGCAGGTATACAAGGTTTAACAGATAGAACTGAATTTTGGACTAACTTTTTTCACATAAATATATATATATATTTTTTTTTGTTCATTAAGTGAACCTAGCATAGGTAATACATTTTTTTATGTTTTATTTTTTAGAACTGAAAAAAATATAAAATGTTGGATAAATTCAAAATAGCCTATTTGTGAATCTGATTATAAGAACAATTTTGATGGTAAAAAGATTTATCTAAATCGGGTAGTATATTTTTTAGAATTCCCGGAAGGTCTATATTTTAATAGGCAATATCCATTACTACGAATAATGTCTAGAGTATGAATTTTAACACATAATTTATTATATCCATTKATACTAATAATTAGTAGCGAGAATGGATTATAATCGGAATCATCAAAGCTATTCGAAAACATAGTCGAAACACTCATTTTTATCACAAACTTTTACATCTAACTGGTTAGTAGGTACTAAACTAAAGAGTAGGAACTAAACTACGTGTATAAATCTAACAACAACTAACTTGTTATAAGTTTAAAGTTAATACTTAACAAATCATAAATCTACAAAATCTACTAAAACTAAAGGAACAATATTTAGAAATTAATTTATGATAACAATATACCATTGATTTCATATCAGTGATAAGAACRGTAAATACAGTATGACCAATATTTGGCGCAACAACAAGACTTCTCCGGAGAAGTCTTGTTGTTGCAACAAAAAATAAAACAGACATCTCCATTTGTATTATATCTCCGTATCTAACGATCGGATATGTCTGATTGTTGCACCAATCGACGGAGATTTTTTTTTCTATAGGAATACACAAAAAAGTGATTTTCGAAAAAAAGTGGAGATGTCTGGTTGTTGCACCCACCTCTTCAATTATTGTAAAATACTAAATAATGTCTGCTTGTACAACTATATACAGTTGTATGCAGCATTCAGCATTTCAGCCATAACATTGTTTATCGAGTTTCACGCTGTACGCATAATTTTCACTTTCTTACGTTAATGTACATTGTTTATTGTTTTATTTTTTAAATCTAACAAAGATTATAAACAGTGTATTTGGTTTTAAAAAATGGAGAGCAATATTTTTAAAATTAAAGAGCAAAAAATTAGATTATCCCGAAGAAAAAACACAAAGGGCATGTATTATAAAATAAAAGAAATACAGTCACAATTTTTTTTTTTTTTAAGCATTCAAAATTTGAATTTTGAGAAAATACGTAAAAATCACGAAAGATCGAAAATTATTTAATCTAGAAATTCATAAAAAAATTGTTTTCAATATATAAGTATTTGCTATACTTGACAATACCGTCTCCACTCAGAATCGGTTTTCGTATACAATAATATAATATCGAGTATAATATCATTGGATTCAAATTTAATTCCATCCATTACAATAACTCACTTGTAACCTACTGTACAGCAGAGCGATATCCACTTTCCCGCTTTTTTAAACTTACTATTTTATTATTTTATGAATATAGTTTTATTTTATTTACCAAGAAATTAATATTTGAATAAATAATTCCTTACTAAATAATGAAGTAATGACCATAGAATCTGATGTTTCATATAAAGATCAATAAAAAAACAAATTCATAATTAATAAATTAATAATTAACAACATTATTCAACAACGGATGTGTAATTATGATATTATCACCCATATTACAGAATATGTTCTCAGAACCTCCGATCGCACCGCTTCCAAATCGAGTCGGTAGTGTCACTAACACTAATGATCATTTATTACGCACGCACATATATTATTGCCTATACTGAACTCCTTAAAAACTGACCTTTTCAATCCCTTTAAATGATTTCTAATAATTGCTAACTAATTACATAGGTACATAATTAAATACTAAAGAATAAATGAGAAATCAACATGACAGATACCATAATAGAAAAATATAGCTATCTGTGCACATTAACTACACAACATTTTTTTGGGTCTGGGTAAATTTAAAACAAACTACATGAGTTTTAATTGTTTTATTATTGTAGATTTCAAACGAACATTTAACCAGATACAGTAAATTTCTGCTGCTGAAAGGCCTCAGCACAATGCTATTGGAAAGAATATTGGTTTTATTTAGACTTAATAAAATGTTTATTGTGGTAAAGTCTATAAATGTTGATTATAAGGCTTAGGACAGGTGCTTTACTCCCATAATTCAAAACAATACATTTTAATTTATTTATAAAACAGAAACAAATGTGTATCAAGTATACCTAAATCAATAAAATGTAAAAAATAATAATTTATACAAAATTAAATTTTTGATGATTTACATAAATAATATGCAAACCATAGTTTACAAGATATTTGATGAAAAATTACTCAGAGAAACTGTAAGTGTTTATAAGAGTGTCTATGTGAGCATTAGATACACAATAATTTATCATGTAAAATTATTTGATTTACTAATTTATACATKAGTACCTACCTAACTAACAAACATATTTTTACGAGACATTTACTACAATAATATTTTAATTTATCACAGTGAACAGCAGAATAGGTTATTTACCTTATACTATATAAATTAATAACAAAATCATAAAAATAATTATAAGGTGAAATATTAAAGCGGGAGTAGAGTATTGACTGACCCACTTAGGGAAACTCTACGTCACATTAAAAACGGGAGTGTCCATTTTTTAGCATAATTTACTCTAGTATCCTGACAAACACCAAATGGGATGTTTTACGCCCAATCCCTCCATAATTATCTACATAAGACAAACTTATACAAAATAATATTTTTATAATAAACCCTGCTTGAAACAGAAGTTGATAGTTTAGTTTAGGTTATAGTTGTAATTTATAAACAACGAGCGTTGAGTAACAAATAATTGCACAGTTTCAAAGTGTATTACAGGGAAACTATGAAGCCCCTCATTAGACGGAAGTTATTTCACTAATAACTTTCAATCATTTTTATGTGTACCTAAAAATATACAAATAAGTAAACAAAAAAAAAAATATATATATATATATATACTATATAGCCATCGTAAGCAAAAACGCCGTAAGTCACCATGAAGCGATTTTGAGAAAAACGTGTTTTTGTTTAGATTAGATAGTATGATTTCCGGCGTTTCGTTATTTGATTATAGTTTATATTTTACTTTTGGAATTTGGAGTAATATTTCAGACATACTACGGCGGCATGTTAACTACACAAGCCGAATTTTACGATTATTTATTTGTTTTTACCTCTTTTTTTTGGGACTTACGGCGTTTTGATTACGACGGAAGTATATATTATATATACATAAGTGTGTGTGTAAATTACAATTAAATGAAAGTTTTTTTTTTTTTATAAATGTCGGATTTATTTAGTAATTATTTTAGAGTCAAACTAAAATCACTATCCTAGTTATTCAATTGTATAAATATTGTTCCTCTAAACCGTATCCCGTAGAGCATAGAGTAATACTGAATAGTCTGAAAACTCTGAACTCTGAAATGTCCAACACTCAGTACACTCACTCGCCATAGCATAGGAATGAGATGTGCACGGGAAAAAAACCGTGCGTAGGAAAACGGCCAAGTAGGGGCGGTGGAGGTACAGGGGACAGGAGCACAGAACGCACAGCGTGCCGGCGCCAGCCAGCCGAACTATAACAACAATAATAACGACGCGCGGAGCATAGTTGAGTGACGGGTGAGGCGGCGGGAAAAATTGCGCGGGCGAAAATTACGCGCGAGAACGCCGCCGTCACCAAATGGTATTGAACATAAGAGGGCGGCGCGGCGGCACGAAAACCTCATAGCGTATTTATTTACGTTATTCTACTTATAGTATTAGAGGTCGAGGGACGGGCCACCACAACAACAACAATAATATCAACGGTTGTGACGGTCACGGGGAACAACGTGATGGGCTGGTATTGGGAGAGGGGTCATGATTGCACTGGAACCCGACAGCGCGGTCGAAAACGAACGTGAAATGCGAACAAAAGAACGACGAGTCGACGACCCAGGAGCGGCGGTTTGCGTTTGTCGGACGACCGAATCGACCGACAAATCGAACGTCGGTTCGCATATTATAATCGGTGGTCGGAAATCAAAACAATAATCGTGTGTGTATATAACATAGTCGCACATGTTGCACGCCGGCCGACGGCTATAGATTGCACAACATTTCGTCAGCGATCGGCGGTGGCAGATACGCATACGCACCCGCACGAGCTCGGCGCAAGACCAACGACTCGCGCGCGCACACACACATGCATAGAAATCACGTTGCGCCTTGCGCGGCACCGGCCGGGTCGGCTCTCGGTGGTGACTGCAGAGTGCAGAGGAGGATAAGGCGAACGTCTTTTTACGCAGCGGCCGATCGATCGATCGACCATCTCGTTCGATCGATACAATTATCATTATTAGTTATTTAATAACAACCAGCCGGTTGTGTGTACTCACGCCACGAGTCGTCGTACCGGCGGACCAGATAGTGTTCGCCCACGTCCAACGGTCCATCTTCGGACGATTCCGAGTCCTCGGCCTTTTCGTTCTCCGACGAGCCGTTCGCGGTTTTCGGGTCGTCCGGGCTGTTAGCGTTCCGCGGCGGATCCACCTCCATGCTGACGGACGTCGCGCTGTGATGCACGACCATAATAATTACCGGGCGACGGCCAAGACGATTTTATTGTATACACAATTAGCGTGCGACGGAGGCGAGATTATCGCAAAAACAATAATATTATATGCGTTAAGATTTTTAACTCGGCGGTTTAACCGTCAACCACGAGGATGATGCGACAGCCGTGAGCGGTAATAATAACTGCTATCCGCTACAGACGCAATACAGTAATGCTTGGCGGCCAGCGGTTGATGCTACCACAACTCTCAGGTATGAGAGCGGCGCACGTCGGCTACGGGCGGTGTCGGCTTTGTTTGGGCTACGCGCCCCACCCCACGCCATCCAGGCACCGATGCCGACCAGCGCGCTGTACAACTTACTGTGGCGCCGCCCTAACGACCTCGCCATCGTTATCATGGAATAGAAGATCGACGTAACTCACCCACCGGATTACCGTCGTGGAATAAACGACAAAAAATTGCGAACCAAAATCGAATCGCAATAAACAGTGTACGTCGTGCACGATCTGGATTGTTGTTATTACTGTGTAATGAATAATTATAACAATTATCTGAAGTATCATTTTTCTAGCAAAAACAACATACTTCTAGTTACTACTTATAACGGCTATAACAGTATACACGTAAATATTACGCTGTAAGCTTCATTTAGTTTTTTTATATAAAATTAAAACAAAATAAATAAATAATAATGGTTTTCAACACAATAGTTATTTACAACATGTTATGACTTAATAATGTTATGTATGAGAAGATGTACAATATACATTTTTCTTAACTGTATATAAAATAAAAATATATTTGAATGTAACAAAAAAATATTTGATTCAACGTACAATATAAAGTATCATTAAAATTAAGAACTAAACTAAGATCAAGTTAATATCCAAGATATGGAAAATGTATGACATAAAAAGTTTTAACTTCCAACATCCAACAACATTTTTATATTTATAATTAAAAACATTATTTTGGAAATAAATTAATATTGGAACTAAATAATAATATCAAAAAAATACTAAGCTTGAAAACTGCCTTATTCAATACAAAATGTATTAATAAAATACTATAAATCAATTATAAATTGTCATAACATAAAATAGTCTTTATTTTTACAAGATTGTCACTTAATTTTTTTTTTTAATTAATTAAGACTCACTTACAATTAATAAACATTATGTTAAAGTCTGAGTAAAAAAATAAATTTATATTTCTTCATCTTCACAATTGTGTAAATATATTTGGAATGATCTACGTCTGCTAGTACCATCTTTAGAAAATCCAAACTTATGATAGGTACCATCGAGGCAGATAGCTGTAACATGAGTTCAATGAAATTGTATTAAAATAAAATAATCTAATTAATATTAATATATAAACAAACTGCCAACAACAGTAATTTATTGATTACAAAAATGAATTGCAAATCTGGCAAACAGGCAATTATATTGCCAAATAATGTTTTTAATATAATGTAAGCTAAACAGCACTGGAAATGAAAGCTCTATCAAACCCAAACCACCGACCAAGAGATAGTTACATACATTAACACAATCGCGGAAAAAATGTCCGAAGTAAAAAAGTCTAAGGCATAAAAAGTCCGGTATAATATTATATTATTAAAAAAATTTAATGATTACAATTATAATATAAAAAACAATTAAAATAATTATTCATACAAATAAAATATAATAATATATTATAATTATTTCTTAACACGTTGACTGCGTATGTATTTTTGCATTTCCCGCCCAGTGCGTACGTTACTTTTTTCATCAAATTTAATTTTGGTACTAAGAAAAAAGTTTTTAAATGTGTTCAATAATACATATTAACATTTTTTTCAACTTTGAGCTTTTGAACTTTCATGACGCCAATTGGCGTCGTTAGCGCCACTGAATTTTTTTTCAACAGTGCGCATGGACGCCAATTGGCGTCTTAGTTATTTTTGTTGATTTTTTTTAGAAATTCAAGGAAGTATATATATACAATTAAATAAATAATATACAAGTATTACAAAACCATTAATAAAATTGATTTTTATTATCTGAAAATTAAAAMTTAAAAAAAAAAAATTTATTGTAACCTATATGGTTTAATCACGCTAAATAATAAAAAAACCACATTCAGACACGCTTAACGAGTAATAAACCATTTACTTTTATTATATTGTGGACGCCATTTGGCGTCAAACACGTTGCTGATTGATACTCATAACGCCAATTAGCGTCAGTACGCAGTCAACGTGTTAATTAAATCAAGTAGATATTTACTTAACTATCGTCCTATAAAATATAATATAGGTATTTAAAAAAAAAGTAGTTATTGGTACATAGGTAGAAGATTATTTATTAATTTTGTCAGTTAAATAATTTAGTTACAATTTATATTAATATTAATTGGAAGTTTGATTGTGCATGACACAGTATTATCACATTGACACGGATCTTTTGATAGTCTACCATTAACACTATAGCAACACTGTTGTAATAGATTAATGAATAATACAGTGAAACTTCTAATTAACAAAATTCTCTTTAAAACAAAATATTTTGCGAACCAAACCAAATAATGATTAATTTTTTTAAATTTTATTTCACCAATTTCTTAATTTTGTTGCCAATGTAACTTAATAATAGATAAGTTTAATTGTACTCGCAATTTCTAATAAATCATTTTGATAAAATAATCAAAAATTGATCAATGAAAAGAACAAACCCTATATCATAGAAAATATGTCTACATACAAGTACATAATTAGGGTGAGTTACATTAAGAACAGCCAATACATTTTTACTGGCCCTGTAGGTAATTTATTTTTTCTACAAAGAGAATGATTGCATTAAACTAACCTAGAATTACATAAAGAAATATTAAATTATCGATAACTATGATTACAAAATAAATTAAACTACTAATAGTATTGATAACATTAATAATTTTTCATCGACCTGTAAGTTACCAAAACAAAATCTAACCTGAAATTTACAGGTCTGGTAATATTGATAGTTTATAGAATAATTAGCACTATCCGGTGTTCAAGCAACACTCAATTTTAATTACAGTACTATTAATGGTTAATAGTGTGATAACAGTTTGATAAGTCATCACAGGACATTCATTTCAAAAAAAATTATTCACCCAGATCAACAAAAAATTATTGTTATTGAACAAAGTGATTACAATTATCTAATAAATTAGGCGGTGTTGTATTAGATTTTTCTAAGCGAATTGCATCATTCCTATAATCGATTCTCTTGAAAGTATTGTACAATTATCTAATAAATTAGATATTTAAAAATTTTATTTTATTCTTACCAGCAACAGTATCTTGAGTCAAAAAAGTGCAAATACAGCCCACTTCTGGAGGTACTGTAAAAGTGGCCAAAGCCCACTGTGATTGACAGTAGGAACTGAAAAAACTGAATGGTGATAGACTAGATCGGCGATTTAAATCAGATTCTATCACTGCAAATATATGAATTGTGCCTTTATCACTTGAGCAACATAAATATTCTGAATTTGGGCTAAAGTTTATGCTGTGAAAATACAGATAACCGATAAAACACTATATTAAATTATAAATTAATCATATTATGTTTTTACTTAATAAATTATATCATAGTATATAATTTAAAAAAACTTGTTCTTTTTTATTTAAATAATAAAAACACATAATATGATTCACATATATTCTTATCTTCAAAAAGTGCAAACAAGGAGTTACATACCAGTATAATGTTGCTGTATCCGACCCACGTCTTAGTTCAGCAACTTTGACTTTATGACAAGTATCCCAGATTCTTATTAAGGTTCCTTTAGAACTTGCACTAGCTATAAGTGTACCGAGTGGATTAATAGCCAAACAAGAAATCTCACCTTGGTGAGCATTAAGTATTGCCGGAGCGCTAGAACTTGTTGCTTCCAAATTTGAAACATCCTAAAATTAAAATAGTTAGTTTTTTACATAACATTGTATAATATAATATCATCTAAAATTACCATAATATGAACACTTCCAATTTTGTTACCAGGATAAGCAATGATTTGTTTTGTAGAACTTTCTAAAGGAGTGATTTCACACAGTCCCATCGGGTTTGGACGGGTTTCCAAATTAATTATGTGCTTAACGGCTGCAGGAAATGTAAAAACAGATATCTTGTCCATGGTTACAACTATAATTCTAAGTTAGACATTTAAAATAATACTAGTAAATATTCTGTTTAAAGAATAATACAAAAGGTATACTAACTTGTTTCTCCTCAATCGTACAGATTTTACATTGGAATCACAAATAATTTCCATCACAAATTTTTGTAAGTAAGCGTCATAGATCAGTACAGTGTTCTGACTGTATTTTGGATATTTTCCACCAGCAATTATAGCAAAGATATTGGTACGATTCAGCATTTCGCATTTCGATACACTGCCAAAATCTGTTCATCACAAGAAATAATATGGTTTCAATCATAAATATAAAGCCTGGAAAATCACCATCGTTAAAAATATTTAATGTCGACTTACCGAACCTCTCTTTTGGTGACAAGGGTTCAACGTTGTATATTCTCACACCAGTTTCAGTACAGCAAGCGAAACAAGCTGAAACACGACAAACGTTTGTCACAGTTACGTCCAATGACGACACTATCTACAGCGGGCTGTAAGTTTACGGTGATATTTTTTATTTGTATACTCACTACGGTCTTGGTTGAAACTCAAACTGATTATGCCTTTTTCATTCATGTTTGTATTGTTTTTGACCGCCAACAGTCACGAACAATATATATTATATACACGCACAGTAGACCAAACTCTCTCGAATATTGAAAACTTCGTAAAAAAAAAAAAACGTTAAAATGCGCAAGAAACAAAAGAATTTTTCAAAAACGATTAGTATTAGGTGGTACTACGTCTATGCTCTAATCGTCTAATCAGTCTGTATTCTGAATAGGTACTGACAACTGACAACTCGGACAACTGACGATAATATAATTTGTAAGTCGTATGCTCGTAATTCGTAATCAGCACAACGTAGTCCACGATCAACCAATCAACGTACAGACACTGACGTAATTCAGTACTGACTACAGTTGTTCGGTGTGGTGTGTACTGGCGTCTGGCGAAGTGGTCACTGGCCACTGGCGTACTGCGCAGTGCGCAGCGAACGTAGTACGTTTTGTAGATATTAGATAATATATTAATTATTTACACTCTACAGGCTACAGCTCGGATAATTTAGGCTGTGCTCTGCAGGCTAGTGCCAGGCGTACTGCGCACCTGCAAAAAGTTTATTGTGTATTTGTGACCATAGTTGAAATGTAGATTGTAAAATAATAAAATCTAAATAAAATTCTGTGATAATACGGCGCGTGTAACTCAATATAGACGATAGACCTATATAAACCTTATTTTACGCATTTTTAAAGGTCTACTGTCTACTAAGTCTGACCGATAAGTTCTGATTGCATCGTTATTCTTAATTCGACTGACGACTAAATACATGGGGTATAAATCCAAAAATCTCTTGGGGAGCTAACCTGCATTGTTATCACGTATTTCAATATATTTGTGCTATAGTGATTGTGTTATTATATAATATTATCCTTGCTAGCATAGGTAGAGGAGTTGGGTTTTTAAGTTTATTTTTAAAAATGTAATATATGTATATTATATATAGTGGCTATAGTGCTAATACACAAAAATAATAACATTAAATTTAAGGTTTAATATCTATGGTTTGCCCGTTTAAAAAAAGTCACGGGGGAGGGATACTACACCTAAATGGCTAAATCCCTTGATTGACTTTATTTATTTTCATAGTTATACTGAAAACGATGATGAACTCAAAATTGGGAAAACAAACTTAGTTTCGAAATTTTAGTCTAATGAAACTTCGTCTTTTGCGATTTTTTTGCATTCACGTAATCCACGCTCTTTTATTATTATACCTTTAGACAAGCAATGCGTACATGACGGAAACCTAACAATATAGAAGACAATGTTTGATTACTTAATCACTAATACGAACCATGAACTACTATTGCTTATTATAAAAAATAATACTTAACTGATCGTGCAATAACTAGATTAAAGATAAAAAATTTAAAATGCTTATTTTGCATATTTTTTTCAGTTTTACGTATTTCTTTTGCATATAATTTAATATTTTCTTAAGCTGCTTATGTATTTTAATAGTAATATTGAATATAAGAATTAAGAATATGATTTAAATATTATTTAATGCAGACATATTAATTATTTATAATTTATTGTTATAGCTATTTGTCGCAGTCACTATTAATTTAACCATTTAACGACAATAATGGTTTGATGTACTCACGTGCATTTATTGTCTATCACTCTAATAATCTGATGTACTATATTTTCGAATACATTTTTAAACTATTTTTTTATTTCAATTAAATGTTTAAAATATGGTAAATAGTTTTACGCCATATTTGAAGTATTAGATATTTATTTTCCATATTAGATTCTGAGTAAAGCGATGAATTATTATTGATTTAACAAAGTTGAATTTGTTATTATTATTTCTTTTGTATCTGTGTACACGATAATAGTACCCGAAATAAAGTATAAACCTTCAAGGTTAGTTGCGTTCGGAATATATGTAGGTATAAATTCAAAATTCCCAAATTTTGTTTTTCCAACAAAAGTAATTAAATCTCTCTATTTTTTTAATGAATTTTCACGTTTAAATTTTCATTTTTCATTAATCCGTTGACGAGATATAGTCTCCCAAAAATGAAAATTTAAACGTGAAAATGTATTTTAAAAAATATCCTTATTAATTTATGATATTTTTAATATAGGTTGTCATTTCAAAATCAAAATTTGATAGTGGTTTACCTAATAAATATAAGGGTGAAAAATATTAGAAATTTATATAGTTTTAGAACAGCATGTACCTATAATTTTGAAAAAAAAAATTAGAAAAAAGTAAATAGTTTTTATAAATAATGAGTGTTTTACGCCTCATGAATCACTCTGTATAATAAATAATATATTAAATTCATTAAAAATCGTACAACTGCACATGTTGTGATCTATAAGCAGTTTTATAAGGTTAGGTTAGGTTATTTTTATTTATTATTTAGTTATCAGGGCCGTAGCTAAAACTA